TCGGGTTCCCAGAGAGAGTCTCCTCTGCCCCCAACTCCCCCCAACAGCACCATGAGCCCAGAGCAGGAGGCAAAGCCACCATTCAGCCCGTAAGTTCATTTTGCTCATGAACATACAGCTCAGGGTTTATAAACCAAATTCAGAGAGAAACCAGGGAGAATGAAACGTGCTGTTTTTTTTTTTTGGTTTCTCTCTGACTGAATGATTTTCTTCTTCTACAGAAACATATTTTGTTCTCAGTGCAGTAACTAGAAAATAATGTCAGTCTGCCAACTTCAAATGCACACAGAGAAGTCAGTTAAAAGCTTGCACACAGTGAATATGTTGGTGTTCCAAAGCCAAAGGCTCCGAGAGCTGAGCACATGAATGTCCTGGAGTGCACAGTCCAGGAAGATGCAGGGTTCAGATGGGAGTTTGTGCGGTACCGAGAGAAACTGTGCTTATGTAACCTGACAGATGACACTAGAAGACAAGAGCTGCTTCCTGCCTCATAGTAATGAAATGTTTTTTGGGTGTGGGATGTTGGCTGAATATCTGGAGACATCGCCTTGGGTTCTGGGGAATGTGTCACCATACTTTGATGCTTTATGGGCCAAACTAATCGCTTCATCAATAAAATATTCAAGTTCATCAATAACACACATGCAGGCTTATTGACATGACTCGGTGAGATCTGTGTGTGCTTCTGGTTCTTTTTCTTGTGGGTGATTTGGTGTCTGTCTCTGATTTAACCCCTGATGTGTGTGTGTGTGTCCCACACCGCTGTGGTGCTCTCGACCCCCAGGAGTCGCTCTTTCCTGAGCCACCACATGTCAGCTCTGGGTCTGAGCAGGAAGTCCAGGCTCTTCTCCAAAACCAGCTCCATCTCTGAGGAGCCTTCAGCTGCCTGCAGGTCTGGGCTTAGTCAGGTCATCTTATCACCACTAACGCTGTGAGACCCTGTAGCGTGTCGGCCCTGAGGGGGGGCCCTGCAGCATGCATTATTACCATGTGAAAGATTCATCCTGTGGAGAGCAGGAGCTGGTGACCTGAGCTGTCACATCCTGATCCATAACTGGGACTCTACAGGAATTTATGCGTTTCACACCAGCTCTAGCTGCTATCGCGTCGTGAATGTTGTGCACGTCTGATATGAGGAAACCTTTGTGTGAACAGTCTTTCATCATTAACCGATTTCAAATTCCGACTAAGCTGTAAAGAAACTAACATTCAGGATTTTCTCCTCAAGCTCCAGTGTGAAGTATCAACACAAAGATCAAGTCTGAGATATCAGGACTGAGCATGAACACAGCCATAACCATTTGTCTGTTCACTGACTGGCTGCATGCCTGTTGTACACACATACTCACTGTGTTTGGAAACCAGTCTGTACTCTCTCTCTCTGTTCCTGGCTGCTCACTCATCCTCTGTGTGTGTCTCTGTGTGTGCTGCAGCTCGTCTTCCTCAGGTCCGCCTCTGCTGGACAGGTCTTCCCAGCTGAACCAGGAGCAGCCCAGCAGCAAGACAGAGACCAAACCCAGTTTCAAGTAAGTGAAGCGGTGAACTGGGATGTACTGGGATGTGTGGTATCTATGGCATCAGGTTAGTGGTTTCCTGCTTTACACTTAGCTGTGTGAGCTGGTTTTGTGATGTAGTTTGTCACAGTTGTAGTGTCCCTGAAATAATCCAGCTGTGATTGTTTGATTCACATCTGGATGATCTTTGATTCTTCTCTGGATCTGTTATTGATCATTTCTGTATAATTTCTTTTGTGTTGTAGTTTCCCATTTCCTGATCATTTGTGGACAATGTATTTCTAACCTTTGTGTTGTTTCTTTATCATCTCTGCATTGTTTCTTAATCATTTCTGGACCTTTTTCTCTGACTGCTGCGGCTCAGTTCTGGATCTTATCTGGATCATAAATTGTTTCTAGGTAATGCCCTGATCTTTTCTGGTACATTTGATCATCTCTGGATAACTTCTGTTTTATTTTTAGGTTAATTTCTCTATAGTCACTGTATTATTTCTGTATTTTATTTTTTTTATCTGTGTCATATCTGAGCATCATTGCTCATGTTGTCACCTCTGGATCATTACTGGCTTCTCTCTGGATCAGTCTTCCTGGCCATCACATTTTTTTGTGCATTTCCTCTCAAGCTGTTTCTCCCTTCAGCTTCACTCTGTGGACTCTCTCTCTCTCCATTGTAACTTCATGTCTCTCACCCCTCTCTCTCCATTATAACAGTACAATGTTTTGTCTGTTGCTCTGATCTTTCTCTCTCTCTTTCTTCTTCCCTTCCTCCCTTGTCCCTCCCCCAGCTCGGGGGAGGATGACCAGCTCTTCTGGTGAGTACACGTCGAGCCCACCAAAGCCCCCCACCCTGCTTGACTGTAGCTGTCCAGTGCTCCACTGTATAAGATTAATGTGGTTGACCTTGAAGAATTTCATCAGACCAGGTCTAGTTCAAATAATCGGTCACAGAAGAGTTAAAATAATGTGATACACTGATGTGCAGGAGATGTGTTGGTACTTTCTTCTGGCATTAGCTGAGGTGCTCTCTGTAATATTGTCTTGTGTTTCTTGTCTGTCCTGTCTTCAGGCATTTAATGTAAATCAGGTTTAGCCTTGTTGAAAGGTGCTGTACAAACAAACCTGCCCTGCTCAGCCTTTATTTTAGGTGAGGCAGGACAACTTTGACCGAGCTGTGTGTCTCTTTAATTTGATACAGGTACTAAAGTACAAGACCAGTAACTTTAGTAAAACTACAAATGTCAGTGTGTCTGTCATTGGTTTTCTGAGGAGGTTATATGCAGCTGGGCACCGTGGCCAGGTGTGAGTGTAGCAGCTGGTGCATGCAGAGAGATGGAAACCTGCTGTTGTGTTGGGCTGTTGTTGGGGGTGTTCTCCAGGTTAATATGTGTGTGTGTTGTATGGAGAGGTTTTCACTGTCGTAGCTGCAGGTGAGAAGATGATGGCACGTGAAGACAAAAGCACAGCAGATGGAGACGGGACCTGGTGTTTCCTTCCAGCTCTGAACCAGTGAGAAAACCTGCACCTTTCTGGTTCCACCGCTGCCGTGTAAACATGTTTCCACTGGCCTCGTTGTTGAGATCTGTGGACATGACCTTTTTCTTTCAGGTCGTCCATGTTTTTCAAAATGTTTTTCATTTGTATCATTTGAAAAGTCCTGAGAGTGGTGCCCCCCCCTTGGTTGTAGAGGGAAAAAAGAGTCAGAGCAACCAAACAGAGGTGGACTAGGAACTGAACCTGAGAACTGGATCAGGGCAGGTCCTTTGTTTTCTCTGTGTGTGTGTGTGTGTGTGTGTGTGTGTGTGTGTGTGTGTGTGTGTATGCATTGTGCTCAGCGTTGTGTTGTTTCTCTGCAGCCCAGATGACTGTAATGTAAATCTGGACAAGCCAGTTCTAAGGAGGTTTCAGTAAGTACAGCCACAGCCCCACTGCATGCTGGGAGCTGGAGGGAGGGTGGTCCCGCTCTGCTGCTTCTGTCGGTGTCTCACTGTATGTTTGTGTGTACATTTTCAGAAATGTGTTGATTCCTCCATATAATCATGTTGCACTGTCAGGCGTTTCTGTCACTGTGGGGGGCTAGGCAGGTCTTTTGTTTTGTCTGTGTGTGTGTGTGTGTGTGTGTGTGTGTGTGTGTGTGTGTGTATGCATTGTGCTCAGCGTTGTGTTGTTTCTCTGCAGCCCAGATGACTGTAATGTAAATCTGGACAAGCCAGTTCTAAGGAGGTTTCAGTAAGTACAGCCACAGCCCCACTGCATGCTGGGAGCTGGAGGGAGGGTGGTCCCGCTCTGCTGCTTCTGTCGGTGTCTCACTGTATGTTTGTGTGTACATTTTCAGAAATGTGTTGATTCCTCCATATAATCATGTTGCACTGTCAGGCGTTTCTGTCACTGTGGGGGTGCAAGAAATTAACTCGTCTATTACAAGTACAGTCCTGCATTCAAAATATTACTTAACTGAAAGTACAAAAGTATTAGCATCAAAATGGTAAATGGACTTTATTTATATATCGCATTTTTCTACAGTGTGTTGCACTGGCCAAGCGCTTTACAGGAGATGATACACCATTCACACACAAAATTCACACATCGATGACGACAGGCTGCCACACAACATATCAGCATCCAAATGTACCTGAAGTACCAATAGTACCAGTACTCATCCTGCAGTACGGCCCGTGTCCCAGTAATGTGTCTGATACTGGATCATAGTGACTGATGTGTTACTGTCTTCATCACTTTAATGCTGCAGCTAGTAAAGGTGGAGCTGATGGTAACTACCTTATATACGTATACTGTGAAGTACTTTACATCCTGCTGTGTAGCTGGTGGATTTCCCACCGAGATCAATAGAGTCTGATGGTTCTACTGGGTTTGGTTTGATTCATCAGATTCTGGAAAGGAACTGAAGTTATCAGGTACATGTAGTGCAGTAAAAAGTACACGGTTCATCTCTGACATGGAGTAAAGTCACAGTATTAAGTAGCAGGACATGGAAGTACTCGGGTACAGAAACCTCATCAGAATTGTACTGAAGCACAGTACCTGTACTCAGTGGCTTTCCAAGACTGAGTTTTAGCTACAGTAGGTGTTCCTAATAAACTGGCAACATGAATGTACACAGTTGTCAAAGGATTCACCTTCAAAACAAAATCAGTTGTTTGTTTCTCTGGTGACGTTTCAGAAACCAACCCAGTAAATAGTCAGACGTGTTGGGTTCAGCTCTGCCACTCACTGAAAACATCCCCTGACCTGTTTGCTCCTCTCTTTCTCCTGGACCCGGACCCGAGCCTGGTCTGGGTCAGTTATCCTCAGTGGTTCTGACCAGAACAATAGCAGCTGGTAACCTGGAGCAGAACTTACCCTGAGTGATGGTTGGGAAGCTGCTGCTAAAGCAGACGGGGTTACAGAGCAGAGACCAGCAGCTCGGTGGTCCTCAGACCTGGACCAGGTCCACCTCCAAAACCACCACACATGACTGAACTGAGCTGTACTGTGGCCATGGGACTTACCAAGTACCTCACTGTAATACTTGTACTTAGGTACTCCAGGTCTCTGCTGCTCCACTACATGTCAGAGCTTACTTTGCAGCTTGGGAGACATGTTGACATGATTAGAAGTCGTTACAGCTCCGTCTGGATTTAAAATGCTGCTCACGCGTTGGCTCACTGTGACAGTTTTTCACTTAAAGATCTGAATGCAGGACTGAACTGAAGAAACTGTGTGTGATAAGATCTATGTAGTAATAATATAACTCATATAATGTCTCACCTTTTAAGAAAGAAGCTGTGACACCACCCCAGACTTCAGTGGTTTTACCACTAGTGCAGACGGCTACAGTGAAGTAACTGGTCACTGATGGCAAAATGGTCACTGTGCTTTTGAACTAGAGTAAATGTGTGTTCCTGTTATTAGATTTTTTTTTTTTACCAATAAATTTGACCTCCAAAAGACAATAAGCATGTGCATTTAGAAAAAAGAAGAGCTGATCACACTCCGGCGCTCTCTGTCCCCACCAGTGACAGAAGAACTGCTGAGTGTGTGTGTTGGACTCCCGCTCTCCCGTTCATCCATAATGTGACATATTAAGGTCATAAATCTGACTGTCGTGTCGCTGTGTTCAGGGTGTGTTTAGATGTCGGTGTGGACTGAAGGTATGCATGTGTGTGTTCCTGGTGGTGGCACTGCTGGGATCCTGCTGTCCTGATCTGAGTGTTCTGGGTGTTAACAGCTGGTGCTGGTCTGGTTTTGCAGTGAAAAAGAATCTGACCCACTGAAATCTGCTGGTTGTTGTTTGGGTTTTACTTTCACATGCTGCTGACTGAAGGGCCCATCAGGTGTTCCTTACTGACTTTGTTATCCACAGATCCCATGTTCAGACCCAAACCAACAGTGTGCTAATCCATTTCTCAGCGCGGCCTCACTTCCTGTCTGT